CGCAAATATTTAGATCACCTCTCAAAAGAATAACACAAAGGTATGTGAACAAAATGCAAGTTTTATCCATTTGCAATCCTTATTAAGCACCCGCGGCATTATTTCAATCATTAAACAGTGCGACAAAAGGTTGTAAAAACACTTAAAGTGCCTTAATATATTTAAAACCGTAATATTCTCTATATTAATGATGCATAGTTTACATAGGCAAGCAGATGAGGCCGGAATATGAACGCAATCGAATCCGCTTAATGGTTCAGTGTTTTCCTTCTAATGGTTTTCTATGGGAAACCATTTAACGTGAAACTTTGCACATTGCGTTTATATTCTGGCTTCATCTGCTTGCCTGTACAAAATATACGTAATCCATAAGGTGTTTACTGAATTTCACCTTTTAATATCTGCGTTTTACTACATTACTACTTAATACAAACTGCGTAAAAATAACTGGCGGTCAGTGGAGCAAAGCTTCGTTTTGCCCTCCAGGTGGGCGTTCCTAAAAGGGTGTGACGTCGCGTGAAAACTATCAATACTCAAGATTGTTTTGGGGAGTATGTGAAAGAAATTTGTGTATTTGCTGTGCTTTTATTTGATTATGAATTACATTTTGAAATGTAAAAAAAAAAAATGTGTTTAAAGTTTTAATTATTTTATTATGAAAATACCATAAGTGGGCTCTTTGCAGACCAAATTTCTTTATTTTAATTTTATAAATGACTTTATACTTTAGGAACAAACTAAAAACGTGTTTTAAAAGCACTGAATTGTACTTTTTTTTTTTTTTTGGTTTGGCAGTGTTGGTTGTTTTGTTCTTGTAGCATTTAATAAAAAAAATATGTACGTATATTTATTTTTAGGGTTATCATAATAAAAAAAAAACAATATAAATAATTACATTTGAAACTGGATTTTTGGTAATTGTAGATGTGGTGTTGATATGTTTGTGATATTGTTTCCTTGATATTAAATCAATAAAAAAAGCTAAAGGTTGGGGTAGAGAATGATGCCTACGAGCTACAGGCACAGGTTAGCAAAAAAATTACATGACATTTTTATTGATTTTGGGGTGAACTAAAATAAGAAATATCTAAACTTAGTTGTTTAATGCTTTTTTAAAGCATTTTAAGTCATCATGAGCCCCCCTGCTATGTTTGCCGAACCACTGCTTTAGACTATTTTTTCTTATTAGGTGACCTTTAAAAAAAAAAAAAAAAAACCC